GAGGGAGGGAGGGAGAGGGGAAAAGAAGGTGCCAGGGGAGGGGGGGTTACAGACATAAGGTAGAATATTCATGAATTTCCACTACTTCCTCCTCTTTCCTCCTTCTTTTCCTCCTTCTCCTCCTTTCCTCCCCCTCCTCCTCTTCTTCTTTTTCTTGCTCCCTCTTGGCTCCCCACCCCTACCGCGATCAAGAAGCGCAGCAACGTCGTGTCAGTGAGCCATGTCTGGTGCGGTGCATGCTCCCAGAATGCGCTTTGTTTGATGATCATTCGGAGAGCGTGCACTTTAGAGCGCTCTGGACCACCAAGGCGGGGGAGCAGGAAGGAGTGAAAGAGAAGGGCAAAGGTCAGTACAAGACAGTTTCGGATGGGAATTTCTCCGAAGTGACTCAAAGCTCCGAGAAAGCGTGCCGTTTCTTGGATTTGACTCCATCTGCACGTATGTGTACACGTGTCATAGTCTTTGACTCCATTTGCCACCACGTCCACACCCTTGAATGTTCCTTGTATTCTGAAACATAGCAGTTAAAGTCCACAGGCCAAAAAATAAATCGATTCCCCTTGCCCACGCCAGGTCCGAGTTTGCCCACAGGTTGAGAGCATGCAGACCAACGTACCGTCTGGAGTGGGTGTTTTCAGTCGTAAATGCAGGCGGGGGACCACCATGATAGAGGAATTTGCTCCGGAATCTAGACGGGCATCATCGTCGGCATGCGCCTGCATGGTCTCGGGAAGCATCGACCGGAGTGAGTCCTGTCCAATCAACCTGTATTGGTGTGGACTGGAATGCGGCCTGGGAAGGTAAAGACGTGGAGAAGGAAGGAGAAAGAAAAAAAAAGGTTTTCGTGAACGCAGGGGAGAGTCATACGATCGAGGCATTCGTCCTACGAGGAGAGGGCGCCCGCAAAACCACAATGTCTGCTTGCGGGCATGAAGCGTTTGCGGACTCGTTGCACGACGTATTTTCAGTGTGCCGCATGCTGGAGCACGGTTAAATTGTTTTTGGGG